GGGGATGGAGGGCAAGCTTTTATAGAGCTGGATTTCCTGATCTACCCTCTGGGCTAAGGAAAGACGGGGCTTTGATTCACAAAGTGACCGCAGCTCGTTGTCTTCTTCCTCGAATAGTTCTTCCAACTTGCGTAACTTGCGTAAGTTGCGTAACTTACGTAAAAAAACGTGACGTAAGTCGTGCTCCCCAGAGCCGGCGCTCTCGGCTCTGGTGCTGCGGGAATCGAAAAAAGAATCATTCAGCGAGCTGCCAAACGATGCCATGGAATCGGAAAATACGGAACCGGTTCTGAACAGGAACCGGTTTTCGATTCCCATCCCTACACACAACCCTGCTAGACTTTCAAAATAAGACTCCAGTGACTCTTCAAAATAAAAGCCTCCATATTGTACTCGTGTATTAATTGATGCAAATGGCCCAGCATTATGACCCAAACTCTACCAGCTTGTTTCTATTAGACTCTAGGGACCTTTTCAAAACATACCCCAGAGCAAATTTCACAATAAAAGTCTCCCATTTACGCTCTAATACAGCATCTATTCACCCAATAACATGGAAAACCAGTGATTTCATATTTAGAAATGGATTATATATCACTGCTGGGCATGACCCTTCCCTTGACCCACATCCATGATAGACTTTCGAAATAAGACTAAAGGGACTCTACAAAATAAAAGCCTCTTCCTTACATACACTCATTCATTGTGCCGTATGGCTCGTAGCTATGACCCAAACTCAACCAATTTCTTCAAATTACACTACCAAGGCCTGTTGACCACACACCTCAGTGCATATTTCTTAATCAGGTTCTAAGATTTACACTGTAATAAAGCATCTGCTAACCTCGTAACATGCAGCCTAGGCCTGCCAACGGTGCTGTCATCAACACAGCGGCTCGTAACATGCAGGTTAAATTTTTTGATAAGTTCAGCTCCTAAAGTGGTATTAGCTCTCTTTCTATAAGCTTCTCTCTCTGTCCTTCCTCTGCTTCTCATGGTCAGTCTTGCACATGGGTTTGTAGATTTTCAATCCTCTAAGGATGACACTGTTTTCTTTATGCTGATCAACCGACACATTTTAAATAATTTTCCAATTGTTTTGCCAAGTCTTGACATTTCCACATATGATTTCAAAATATTAATACTTATTCAATACCATCGTCCTCAACATTTTACTTCCCATCCTTAAGCTACTAATTTTTTCTTCAACCAGATAAGATTAAAGTTTTTCTTTGTAATTTCTTTTCTACTTCAGCTAATTTCATACTTTTCAGCCTATGTTGTGAACTTTGGCTTCATTCTGCTCTGTTTCTGGACAGGAATTAATCTTTTCTGTTTGCTGCTAATTCATAACACGCCTGACATGTTTCTGGAAAGTAGGTAAACCCCCCTTCAAAATTTCTTTATACATTTTTCTAGAAACTTGGGAGACATTATATTAAGACCCTTCTAGTGCCCACATTCAAGACATTTTTTGATATCATGTATGGTTTGGCTGTGCAGCTTTTAAGATGAGTCTGTTTCTGCAATTTTACTGCCAAATGATTCTACCCTACAAAATCTTCAGATAATTCAATTGTTTTCTGCAGTTTGAACTTTCTGATGACTTCCTATCACATTTTCATATGTTCTGCAGTTAATTTCAGCTTGTCTCATTCAGCAAAAGCATTCCCACTTTGATGTTTCTCCGAAACAGCTTTTTCTAGTTATTATTATTCCGTAGGTTTTTCTTCGTTTAACTAGTTCAACAGTTTTCAGCTGATTTAAACAAATTTGGTATCAAAACGTTCAGCTTGTTCAGGAGAATTCTGCTATGACTTTTGGTAAAGATATTGTTCGTAGTTTTCGCGATATTCAGCTTTTTCTGCGATTTTTGGCCCCATTGAAATGCATGTAAAACTTCAAAAATTCCACTAAATCTTCAGCTACTTTGCCCTTTAACTACTTCAGCATACTTTCAGCTAGAAACACCATTCAACTTTTAAAATGTTTCCGTATCTTTCTGCTATTACTGTTTAACTCGGCTTTCAGCTAACTTTTACAGTTTTGCTTCAGTGAAGCTTCAAACTTTTAAACATTTTTTACAGATTTTCAAATTTATAATGGAAGTCTATGGACGGAATGTTCAGCTGCTAGAGTGTGCCACTCTAGCGTTTTCAAACATTTCACTCATGCCGAACAGCTTCAACTCACTCGCTCATTTTTTACTCTATCTAGATAAATTTTACATCAAAACGTAGGGATTTTTGTCAGGATTCAGAAAATGTAACCCTAATTTGTGTGGCATTTACGGTTTTCCGACAGTTTGGCCCAGACCACGAAGAAGTCCACACTTCCCCAATAGAAATCCAATGAGAGCTCTCTGAAAATACGAACTGAAAATTCAAAAAAACAGACTTTTTCGTATCGCTCCCATTCGGGAACCATTCGACGTAGCAACATGAGCCTTGTGGAAGTTGTTCCTCAGACCTTCCTAGCACTCACATTGAAGGAAGTGTGTCGATATCTTTTATCGTTTAGCTAGGAAAAAGGTTTGTTCGGGGGTAACAAATCTGTCCGAACCCCAAAATCAAGATTTTGACATTTATACACTTTTTTACATCGTCACCACGCCTAGACGAAATATTGTAAAAATATGAAAGTTACACCAGTTGTAGTGCAAAGATGGCTGACGCTCACGGTGAAAGAATTTTTTGAATACCTAATACGGTTTTGGCTCACCGCTCGTTTGTTCGGAGGGAAAGTTTTGCTTTTGAGAGTTCTGCTCTACCATTGTGCTGCATGTTATTTAATGAGACCAGCAGGATTTCTCAAACCTTTTTATTCCTCCTTCCCATTAAGGCTGTGAATGAGCTACATCCATGAAAGCTATCCCAATTGGAGACAAAGGATAGCTCTTGCTTAGACTGAAAGAATTTTTTAGATACCATTTACGGTTTGTCTTCAGCACTCGTTTGTTCGGAGCTGCTATTCCCATTCAAAAAAGCCTGAGAGGAAAGGAACGAAAGTGATGCGCGTGTCTCTCTGTCACTGACAGGCTCGTTAACGTCGTCAAGGTAACCGTGCTTCAAAGAGATTTTACCTCCACCACTTTAAACAGCACATTTTAATCTAATGGAGGGAGACAACACTGATTTAACATTAGGAAGTGGATACAATATGACTACTGGCCATGACCCTTCCCTTCACACGCAACCCTGATAGACTTTCAAAATAAGACTCCGGGGACCCTTCAAAATAAAAGCCCCTACATTAAACTCATATTTTTTTTCCCAGCATATGGCTCAACATTATGACCCAAACTCAACGACTTTTTTAAAATTATACTCTAGGGGGGGTTTCATAACACACCCCACAGCAAATTTCAAAATAAAAGCCTCCCATTTCCACTTCATCTACTGCCCTAATAACAGGGGGAAAGAGTGATTTAAGGATTGAAAAGTCATCAAGTATCACTGCTGGGTCTGACCCTTTTCTCAACACACAACCCTGCTAGACTTTCAAAATAAGACTCCAGTGACCCTACAAAATAAAAGCCTCTATATTATACTTGTGTATTAATTGATGCAAATGGCTCAGAATTATGACCCAAACTCTACCAGCTTGATTCTATTAGACTCTAGGGACCTTTTCACAACATACCCCAGAGTGAATTTCACAATAAAAGTCTCCCATTTATGCTCTAATATATTATCTATTCACCCAATAACATGGAAAACCAGTGATTTCATATTTAGAAATGGATTCTATATCACTGCTGGGCATGACCCTTCCCTTGACACACATCCATTAGACTTTCAAAATAAGACTAAAGGGACCCTACAAAATAAAAGCCTCTTCCTTATGCACACTCATTCATTGTGCAGTATGGCTTGTAGCTATGACCCAAAGTCAACCAATTTCTTCAAATTACACTACCAAGGCCTGTTGACCACACACCTCAGTTTACATTTCTTAATAAGGCTCTAAGATTTACACTGTACTAAAGCATCTGCTAACCTAGTAACATGCAGCCTAAGCCTGCCAACTGTGCTTCATCACCACAGCGGCTCGTATTATGCAGGTTAGTTTTTTTTTAATAAATTCAGCTCCTTAAGTGGTATTAGCTCTCTTTCTATAAGCTTCTCTCTCTGTCCTTCCTCTGCTTCTCATGGTTAGTCTTGCACATAGGTTTGTAAATTTTCAATCCTCAAATGATGACACTGTTTTCTTTGTGCTGATCAACCGACACATTTTAAATAATTTTCCAATTGTTTTGCCAAGTCTTGACATTTCCACATATGATTTCAAAATGTTAATACTTATTCAATACAATCGTCCTCAACATTTTACTTCCCATCCTTAAGCTACTAATTTTTTTTTCAACCAGATAAGATTAAAGTTTTTCTTTGTAATTTCTTTTCTACTTCAGCTAATTTCATACTTTTCAGCCTATGTTGTGAACTTTGGCTTCATTCTGCTCTGTTTCTGGACAGGAATTAAGCTTTTCTGTTTGCTGCTAATTCATAACACGCCTGACATGTTTCGGGAAAGTAGGTAAACCCCCCTTCAAAATGTCTTTATACATTTTTCTAGAAACTTGGGAGACATTATATTAAGACCCTTCTAGTGCCCACATTCAAGACATTTTTTGATATCATTTATGGTTTGGCTGTGCAGCTTTTAAGATGAGTTTGTTTCTGCCATTTTACTGCCAAATGATTCTACCCTACAAAATCTTCAGATGATTCAATTGTTTTCTGCAGTTTGAAGTTTCTGATGACTTCCTATCACATTTTCATATGTTCTTCAGGTAATTTCAGCTTTTTTCATTCACCAAAAGCATTCCCACTTGCTGTTTCTCCGAAACAGCTTTTTCTAGTTAAAATTATTTTATTAAAGGTATCCTGTTAAAAGGGGTTGAATGAAAATACAAACAACACTTGAAAAAGTTTGTGGTTTCGATGGAGGTTCAAAAGGTGTGAATCATTTTACTAATGCTCTGTAGGACCTTGGTGCTTACCTCGTTGTCTGTGCCAACATCCAGCATGACAGGCAGGCACTGCTGGGGAGGCATTCCTCCACAGGCTGTGTAGAGGGCCAGCTTGCCAACCGGGATCCCCATTCCATGGCAGCCCAGATCTCCCAGTCCCAGAATCCTCTCTCCATCCGTCACACAGACAGCCTGTCAATCACAATGAAAAGCTGACTTTTTCTTTTACTAGGAAGCTGGAAATATGTGCTTGTTAGAATAAAACAAGAAAAAAAACTCTGCAATACCAAATCTTAAATATAAAAGTGAAAAAGTTGCCCTTATTTGCCTTAACTAAACCATTTTTCCATTCCATCATTCCTGGTACCAATAAAGATGCGTGAGCTGGGGACCCAGTAAAACTTTCCTCCACTGGGTTAAAAATATCAGTCATTATGTAACACCTGACATGAGGAGAAGAGTTAAAGGAGAAGTGCTGCTAAAGGCACAGACTTTTCGCAGTTTTTTTTTCTTCCAACAATCTCACAGGTTCAGAGTGTTTGATTAGTTTTCCATGAGGTTTCTTTTTTTCATCTCCATCTTGTTAATGTGTTCTAGCTGCTCAGGCTTATCGGGGAACCACAACCTTGGCTCCTTTATGAAATGTTGAAAGTAGGACATTACTGACTAAGGTTAACAAGACCACCTTGAGAAAAGCTGGAGCTCAGGCGCAGTAAATGCCTTGCTGTTGACAGCTGTGAACAGGTGGCTGCGGCCGCAGGTATAGCTGACATGCGAGGAATGCCTGGTGGTGTCTTGGTCCTGCTGACAGTATGAATCCTTCATATTCATGAACAGCAGAAAAGAGGAGGGGATTGATTAGCTTTAGTCTGAGAAGAATAATCCGATGTAGGTTTGAGCCGTCTCAATTTTAGGTTAAGAAAAACAGATTCAAATGTATGTTTTATGCAGTAAACAGGTAATATTGGTATTTCTGGTAGTTGTAGAATAATCCCGTGAATAACCAGATCAAAGATAATGCAAAATTAGAGTCCAATAATCACACCTTTAGCATTTTGTTTTTGTTTTTTGAGGCTTCGTAGCCTGGACGTGATGAACTTTAGCTGAAAAGTCCTTCTTGGCTGAACTGGCAGGGCTTTTGTTTGTTTCAGCTTTTTCTGTTTAAGCTCTTTTACTGCACCATGACAGATCTCCTGGGCTGAGAACTGGTATCAAGAAAAATACTTAATTTCCATATGAGGCAAACTTTGGGTTAAGGCTAGTGACTGATTTAGTGTCTTATTGCAAATCTCTATTATTGAATATTTTTCTTAACAAGAGCATAAACCCCAGTACTCATTCATCCCCCTTCTTAAATGACCATCCCCCATACCATTCCCTGGGACATTTTATTACTGACATTTCAACATTTGGTGGGGTGTGGGCTTACGAGTAGACTGAGCAAAATAAATCAAATCAAAGAAGTGTCCTACCATGAGTATTAAGCTGATCCCAGTGGGAAATTAGTTCCTAACTATGTAGGGGCAGTGATAGCCATGCCAGTCCAGGGACTGACTGCAGTTCTACTGTAAGGTGCCTTGGTCAAGGTCAATGACCGGAGCAACTAACGTGTAACAACCATACTATGCATATTGCTTCAGATTAATAAACTATATTCATCAGGCTATGTATACTTCCTTGTACAACTACACAACGGATTAATCCGAAATTAGAACTGGTAATTGATGAGGTCAAGAAAGAGACCAGTCAGACTGATTTTTTTTATTTTTTTGATCTAATGAATAGAAACCCCCCGAGAAAACGGTAAAAATATGTATCTGTCTCTCGGTTTGAGTTCAGTTAAAGAAAGCAGTGGTCAGATGTTTACCTTAATGTCCTTTTCAGGCCAGTTTTGGAGGATTGAAGCAATGTGGCCACGGTCATGAATGCTGATGAAAAGCCCCCTGGAAATCACACAAAAACACACAAAACTTTAGCTGGAAAGCCTTTTAGCTCTTTTACAGTTTCTAAATTTTGTCTTATAGAAAAAAATAAAAATAATTAATTATATATATATTAGGGGTGGGTATTGCCAAAGAAGTCACGATTCGATTCGAATCACGATTCACAGGCCACGATGCGATTCTATCACGATGCATCACGATACTTGAATTATTGCGATGCATTGCAATATTTTCTCCTCCATGTTTTGTTTTTGGATGACTCTGCACAGTATCCCGCGGCCGGAAATGCTTGTGACACAAGGCAGCATGCGTCAACACATTTGCAGCGACATCTACTGGACTGGAAGTTGTATTACACTTGTTTTTGGCTGATGTTTGCCAACAATTCATGCAATTTTATTTATTTATTTTTTTAAATTAATAATCGATACTTGGCGTCAAGAATCGATGCAGTATATCACGAAAATTAGAATCACGATGCATCATCATGACGATTATTTTGCACACCCCTAATATATATATATATTCCCCCTTTCCCTTGGAGAAAACACTAAACTGACACATCCCCCTATTGAGGATGTGTGAGTTATGAATAAAAACAGCTTTAACCTCAGAGACCTGTGTTAAGCTGGTATTTTTCTCAGTTTTTCTTTCTTTGACCAAACCTTATTGATGTCTGATGGCACCTTGGTGGGGCTTAAATATTGATCCTAGAGCTCAAGACCTGTAAGAAGTATGCTTAGGACCCCAGACGTGCCCAAATATTAATTTGGCTTAGTATCAGGACCCTTCAAAGATTCTTGAAAGTTGTTTTCAAGGCTGGGGGGAAAAAAAGTGCAGCTTCATTCATATCTATTGCTTGCATCACATTAGACAGAAGATACAGAAGGATAAGAAACAAGCTATTAAAGTGTCACATAAAAAAAGCTGTGGTGAGGGAATGGTCATAGGTTTCTACTTCAAAACCTGAAGACACAGAGCAGCTCTAAAATCTGAATTTAAGTAAAACTGGGGAGTTAAAGACTTTGAAGATAGAAACTCAGGTTCAGACGTTTAAAGCCTGTGTTTGTAAGCCGATCTTTTCATGGCGTAATCATGTGACTCCTGTTAAACTTAGAGGTCACAGAATGTAAAGAACCACCAAGGTCTGCAGGCCTGGTATGTTTGCTTTGCAAGGGAAAACCCATTTCTCCTCTAATTGATTACACAGGTCAAACACACAAGCCAATCGGGAACTTTACTTTGGACGATACACCTTTTTGTTTTAAAGATACTAACCTGAGGGCTTCAGGTTGCAACACTTTTAAATCCATGTCCACTCCGATACACACTATAAAACTAAATCTAGAAACAGATGAATCTCCTCTGACTAATCGATGTGTTAATTTACATGTAATCCATTAAAAAGTGATGATCTGGGATGTTTAGATGCTGTTCAGGTGTTTGTTCAACGTTGCTTTGCAAATGAAGCATGAAGCATTTAAAGAGAACTGCTTCTTTAAATGCAAATATGTCCTACCCAGAAATACGTTTCTCTTGGCCATAATTAAGTCAATTTGTGACAAACAAAATTAAAACATTTAGCAACTTTTTCTGCAAATATTTGCAGTTTTTAACAAACAAATATATAAAAACTTTATTTGTACACTAAGGGTGAAATGAATCAAAAATACCTGTTGTCATATAACTTGGTTTGAATATTCTTCTAATTTATTCTACAGTAAGAGACATAAATTAAAATGTATTAATTTGTTTTTGTATATAATAAGGTGGTTAGTAGAGAACTGAGAGGAGATTTGGTTTGATTTTGGTTGTTACTAAAGAGGGGATGGGGGGGGTCATGTATAGAGTAAGATGACTGTCAATAAAATGAATGTGCAAGTGTTTGAATTTTAGGTGCAAGTCAATAAATGGGAATAATTTGTGTTTGGTGGCTGTACCTCAACTCATACATACGCGGGATCAAATGTTTCCTGTGTGAAAATACAAGTTTAGAAGTAACAAAGCTATAACTTTGCAAAACCACAACAAATACTGCAAATACAAATCACTACAAATACTATAAATCATAGTTTTCCAGGCACACAAGTCCTAATAAAGCCATTGCACTTCTTACTAGCTGGTGGTAGTAAAGCACCTGAAGGTTTCCACAATGTTTTTGCAAGTTAGAGGTCAACTTTTCTCTGTTTAACTCTTGAAAAAAAAAAGCTGGTCAGGGGTGGTGCTGACTTTGTTCTAAACCAAAGGGAGGAAGTTAAGGAACAACTTATATAGACTAAGGATGGATAGCTGGAACCAATACAGGAAGAAGAATGGAAACGGGTCAATATGGTTCATTTTTTTAATATAAAACCCATCCATCCATTTTTAGACACGCTTTATCCCAAGCAGGGTCACGAGGAATGCTGGTGCCTATCTCCAGCTGCCAAAGGGCGAGAGGTGGGGTACACCCTGGACAGGTCGCCAGTCCATCGCAGGGCAACACAATATTAAACCCTTGATGCCTATTTACAAAAAAATAAATTACTTTGGTGTCGTTTTAATGACGGAATATCCAGTATACACTTTGGACATCTTTTCCCAGCCTAGGCCTGACTTCCTCTTTAAAGTCTGACATTGGGGTAAAATACAGCCTTAGAAAGTACTTTGGACCATAAACGAGGCAAAGTAAAGAGGAACCCAGGTTTGGTCACCAAACACTGACTGCTGTAATTTATCCCTTCAGGGAAAGTTCAGCGAAGGGTCATTAAGCCCAACACATCTGACATCTCACTTCTTTACTTTATTCCGGAAGCTCCAGGAAGCTTTCTCAATTCAAATGTGTACACATTTAAATTGAGAAAGCTTCCTGGAGAGGTGTCGAAACGTCTTCAAATCTTGGAAACCAAGTCCAGTGGATTTTTTTGAACTTTTACGGAACGACTATGACCTGGGTGACTGAGAATCTTCATCAGCATATTCTTTACTTTATAAACTTCTTATCTATGTAACGATTCATGTCTATATATTTCTTTACAGCGGTGGAAATCTATACAAAGTTAACAATACTTAAAACTGTTCTGTTAACGGTATTTATGAAAGCTAAAAAAAAACAAAAAACTAAACTGATGGATCAAATCAGACAGGCAGACTGACAGTAATTCCTAATCCAGATCATTTTAAGAGTCACCAAAAATATTTTGGGTTCACCTTGCAGATATTTGCTCCTCCTTTTTTTCTTATATTCTGCCACTCTCTCTGTTTGGGGCTGCTTTAGACCTCCTGACCTTTGACCCAAGAGGAGCTCTCAGCACTTCGGAAAAAGTGCTTTATGGCCACTTAGAATCTACAGACACCTTATGAAGTCAGGAATCAAGCTGTTTTTTATTTCAATTACTACATTCTATTAGGATACCAGACTTTCTGAACAAGAATTGTGCATCTAGGAAACAATACCTGGGTATGTTAAAGATAAAGAAATCCATGGCAACAATTTGCATTACAAAAGTATTTTTACCATATATTACTATAAATCTTCTCAGTGTTCAATGCATCTCTCAGTGTGTTATGATTTTATTGTGCATTGATTGAGTTAGATTTTTGTGTAAATGCTCTGCATCTGATTTTTGCAAATGGAATGGCAACAATCAACAGGAGACGGGCGATTATCTTGATGTGAGCAAAGCTCCTTTACAAGGATTGTATTGAGAGAACGGAGTACTTAAGGAAAACAATGCTGCAACCTGAAAGCGACCTCCCATCTTTGACCTCTGCCCACACAAAACACCACCAGTCGCCATTCTTCACGCCAATTCATAACCTTAATCCTCAGTGCGCTTAGTGCCGTCAGAGCTACATGAGGTCGATCTGACAAAATGAGTGGAAATTACTGAGACGAGTGTGAAACCAGTGGGAAAGGTCACAGTCATGAATATAAGGTGTCTCAAACTAATTAGGTTTCAAATCCATAATGACAGGCAGTGTCTTAAGGGAAGCAAAGAGAGAGGACAGCTTGGTTGGGAAAAACCAACCAAGTTTTTGAAAAAAAAGTTTTAAAAATTGTGTCGAATCTTTAACATCAGAGATAGTTGGATGCTAATAAGGTATTTTTCTACCTCAAGCCTCTGAAGCCTGAAATTAACATTTTCTCATTTGATGCATTCACAGTATTTTGCTAAAAAGCTGCTTTTCTTTAGGTCCTTAATTCAGATCATGCAGAGTTTAATTTTGATGCCTTATTAGAAATTAAATTTTTGTTTAAAACTTAAATTCAAATTGTATATATCTATATACAATTATAATTACAAATATATACTTCAGTATAAATAATAATCTCTGTTTAAAAAATATATAATGGACCAGTCAATGTGGATTTCTAGAACAAATCCAGAATGAAATGCTTTTATTTTGAATGACAACCAATGCCTTTGTAATGCTAACTTTTATTAATATGTCATGATCTGGCCTGTTTGCTCCTCCCTAATTACTAATTCCTCTCACCTGCTGTTTTCCCTCCCTGCCTCAATTGCAATTTATTCCCCTCACCTGTTTCCTCTGGTTTAAATTCAGTTCAGCCTGAGCGTTCAGTGCCAGATCATTACCATATTTTCACGACCATAAGGCGCACCGTACTAAAAGGCGCACTCTCAGTTATGTGTCCCATTTCTGTATTTAACACACACATAAGGCGCACCGGACTATAGGGCGCGTTTTTTATATACCGGTACATGTCCTCTACTACCTTTAAATACCTCTACTGCGTATTTAAAAATACAGCGGGGGCAAAACTGAGTATGACTGTGCTTTATTCATGTATTTATTATAAAGTATTAATAAAACCTGGGAGCTGGCCATGAGACAGACACATCGCAGATGACACAGCGCTGTGATCACTCCTAAATTAACTTAAAATCCTGAAACCTGCCGACGGAATATGTTCGCTTTTATTACCGGTATCCTGGTGCCTGCAGTCTAAATTATTTAGATGAAAAACACCTGCCAGCCACCGAGGTGAACCCGGA